CGTGGCAAGGCTTTTCCAACACTTTCAATAATGGACCGAGATAACCTTGTTATTCAAGCATCATCAGTAGCATCGGAGAATATTTTTAGCGCGGCAAGATTTCAAATCGGAGATCATAGACATTCATTAGCGGAAGACAGCCTAGAGATTTCCGTATTATTCAGAAATTAGATTAATTCAGAAAGAAGAAATCTTGGTTTTGAAAAATTAACCACTAGGAAAGAAGAAGAATACAATGAGATACTTAGCACTAGGAGCGATGACGACATGGAACTCATGAAACATCAATCAACATTGTCAATTCCAGAACAATGTCCGAGAGAAATTATAGATAAGTTACAACAAAGTTATATAGGAGCTTACAAATATTAGTATGATAATTTGTTATTGGCTACTAAGAGGCCTATTTCAAACAGAACCCTTCCTAGAAGGTGGCTGCGTAGATTAGGTGCTTTTCAAAAGAATTATATTTGTATGTGAGATTTGAAAGTTCTATTAATAAAATAAAAAGCTTTAAGCGTTGAGTTTGTTTTATGAATTGTCTTACACTCTTACTTAGTCACTTAATGGATTAAAATTATATTAAGTAAATTATAACTCTATTATATATTTATAATTGCTAGAATATTTTATTACAAGTCTTTTGTTTTAATATTTTATAATTCTTTACTTAGTTTCCTAATTTTCGTTTAATTTTTAAATTTATTAAATAAATCAAAAAATTAGATGTTGCAAACTTTAAAACTTAGTCATTGCTAAAAGAATATCCGTTGCCAAACTCAATGCTTAAATAATTTTTTTTTAAAACGGTACTTAAGGCCCGCGAACCCGTCCCGTCCCGTCTCGTTCCGTCCCATCCCGTTTGTTAACGGGACGAAATGGGCCTACCGTCCGTCCCGTCTCGTCCCGTCCCATCCCGTTTGTTAGCAGGACGGGATGGACCTACTGTTTCATCCCGTTTATCCCGTTTGTCTCGTCGCGTCCTATTAATTTTGTCCCGTCCCGTCCTATCCCGTTGGACAGCCATAGGCATCACTCTGGAAACCTCACCTCGACATCTCACGTGACTCACAAAAATCACTGATAATACACAATCAAGTAGCATTGGGGTCCACACGGTTTGGAGAAACAGAAAGGGGAAAAGGAAAAAAAAAATTGCTCATCTTCTCCATTAGGCAAAATTTCCTCCGTCTACATAAAGCCTCACTAGTAGAATTATAGTGGGTTGTTATTATTATTTGTTGTATATAAAACTTCACCAAAATTTCAGCTCTTTACACATACTTTTAACATGGAAACTACTTAATTCCATCACCTCTATTCAACCAATGTTTGGACCACAAATTAACAAAAGTTCCTCCAGTGAACTTTCCTTGACTGCAACACCACCCTTTCTCTATTTTTAAAGCTCCCCACCACCGTCCTTTATCATTTTCTTTGTCAAAATTATCAGTGAATTAGAAATCAGAAATGGGTTGAATATTAAGGGTAAATTTCGGGCTAGATCTCTGGATTTGAACTCCAACCGAAGTTGCCGTTAGGGTGGGTATTCTTCGAGTGTTATGGTCTGCGGTATCGGTCCAGATTTGAAACGCAATCGAGGTGCTATTGTCAGATTTGGTTTCTAGTTCATCTCTGAGTAACGTTGTTTCTGTATAAAGAGGTTCTTGCTTGATCAAAATCTGGAGAAAACTTTGCTACACAAAAGATTCGGGGACGTTTGGAGATCAATTCACGAAGCAGGGGCATAGCGGAGTAAGAAATTATGCGGTTTCGAGATAAGTATCTTGCCTAACCTTGAGTGGGGGAATTACCCCTTAGGCATCGAGTCTTATGTGCCATTTGTGAAATATGAAAAACCGTGTACGCGAGGTGACGAGTACGTACTCGGGCTTATATGTGCAATTTTATTGGATTAAAGTCTTAGGCATTATTGTGTAATAAATTGGATAATTATTGGCATTTATTAAATCATCTATTTGTCATGCCTCAATCCTTGTTTGTTGAATTTGTTTTTTATATGACAATTTGATGTGATTGTTACTTGAATATTTATGTAAATTTCGTGAGTTTGTTGATTTGATATTTTCTGGAAATAATTATATTATGAATTTTTCCATCTGCAAATAATTAATGAACTAAGTTTAAACTTAGGCGTTAATATAATTATCAAGAATTTGGATTAATGAAGGCTTTGCCCTATACTGAGTATTTTCTATCTCTGTTGATTGTGTTTGAGATTTTATATACATTGTGTAGAGCCTTATGCTATTTTTGAGAAATTTATTGATTTTACTATATCATTGGAATTGGTTGTGGTTGTTGGACAATTTGTGATAGGAATTGATTGTGTTGTGTTGTCGTGATAATATCCCGTATAAATTGTTGTGTGATTTGAGTTATTATTATGAGTATATAAGAGTAAAATTTCACTGTTGATATTATGTGGGTACAAGGGTGACATTTCACCGTGGTTATGTGTGTTGAGATATTGTCTGGACGGAGCGATAAGGGTGGCTATTATACGGAGCGATAAGGGTGGTTGAAGGAGCTATAAGGGTGACTATTGATATTGTCAGGGCGGAGGGATAAGAGAGGCTATTATATGAGTGATAATGGTGGCTATATGAGAGATAAGGGTGACCATTGTTAGGGCGATGGGATAAGAGAGGCTATTATAGGAGTTATAAGGGTAGCTATATGAGAGATAAAGGTGACCATTGTCAGAGCTGATACGTGATGATGTGGAGTTATTGTGTTGGTAATTTTTATGTGACGATGTGGGGTTATTGCGTTGGTAATTTTCATGTGATATTGTGATTTTTCTTGTGTTTATTTTTATATCTTGTGCAATTTGTCTTGTTGTTGGTAAATTGATAATAGTTTGATATATGTTGAAATTGGGAGCCTGTGGTTATTGCCAGACAGATTATGAAATGAAATGTGGGCACGAGGTGTCGTGAGTAAATAATGATGATATTAGCACGTGAACTGTTTGTGCAATTGTGATATGAAATGGGGGTACGAGGTGCCGTGAGTAAATGATGATGATATTAGCACATGAGTTGTCCGTGCGGTTGTGATAGAGAAATTGGCACAATGTGCCGTGAAAATATGAAAGTGGACTGAGACCCGTATTTTTATGATTTTGAAATAAGGTGTCACATGGTGATTTTTATTCGAAAGATATTTATTTGAAAGAGTTATATTTGAAAGATATTTATTTGAAGGGAGTATATTCGAAATATATTTATTAGAGAGTATTATATCCTGAAGATTATTATTTGAAAAAAATATATAGGCGAAAGATTTATATTTGAAGGACTTGATTAATTGGTTGTACTTGTATTCATTATTTATTGTGCAATATTTATGGTATTCTTGTTGCCCTGTTATGTATACCACTGGTTGATTATTGTTACCATCATTGTTATTTGTTTCATATTATTTTTGTATACTATATTGCATATGTTATTAAACTAGTGAGTGTCTCGACTGTACCTCGTCACTACTCCACTGAGGTTAGTCTTGATACTTACTGGGTACCGACCGTGGTGTACTCATACTATACTTCTGAATATTTTTTTGCAGAGCCAGGTATTGGAGCTATCGGACTCGGACAGAGTTAGAGTATGATCGCAAGGATTCAAGGTAGAGCTGCTTGGTCGTCGCAGTCCCTTGAAGTCTTTTCATTTTATTGTATTGTTAATTATTAATCAAACAGTATTGAGTATTCGATCCTTGAGATCATTTCATGTATTCAGTTAGAGTTCGTAACTCAGTATTACCAGTTTTGGGAGATTGTTTGTAACTATTTCCGTTGTTAGTTTCTATTTTTTTTAAAAAAAAATGGCTTGAATTATAATTATAATCGGCTTACTTAGTCTTAGAGACTAAGTGGTATCACGACGCCTGTGGTGGAATTTTGGGTCGTCACATATTTCTATAAGTTAAAAGTGCTCTAACTATTCACCATAAAATTGAAGAAAAAGAAATTCTCACACGAAGAACACCCGTTGTTTAAACAAACACATTGGAGATTTAATGACTATGCTTCTTTTGTCAATATGCAAACTTAAAAAAAGCAAAAAGGTTTTTTATACATTTTCCTAAAAATAAATATTTAAATATTTTCAGGAATATAAGTACATTAAAAATAATTATGAGAGAGTTGGAAAACTATTTTCTCATTGAAAGGGTTTTTTACATTTTCCATTTTTTCAACACATCTCTTAAAAATACTTTGTTTTTAATTTTCTTTGCAGAAATAAATACTTCTCATCAAATGGAATGTGTATCAAACCAAAAATACTCAACGAAAAAGATTTCCAAAAAAATTGTATAGCCACCATCCAAATATTATAGTAATAGTATATCTTTTTTTAGAACTATGACATACTCTTTTAAAAGCTAATTTCTCTTGTTGAATTTAAAGTAACCTCCAACAATTGCATGAGTTCTCCCATTTTTTTCAAAATTAAAATTAAAATATTTGTACAATATCAATATCTTAATTCAGCCGCAACAGTTTGTATCTCGTAGCTTTTCAAATTTTAAAATACAAATCAAGTTTATTTCTAATCTTATTCGGTAGTTAGAATTAACAACTTGGAATTAGCGTACGGACTTTATATGAACGAACTTTTTGTCCTTTTACTATAAAGAAAAATAGGTGCAGTAAAATAAAATACTAAAAAATATTAATACTGTCTGTTTTGAATTTTGAATTTATCTTCTAATTGCTTGTGAATGGTATGATTCAGAAAACGTAATATTGGAATTATTCTCATATAAGAGCACCAGTCAACAATCAAAAATGGGGAGTAAAGTACCGGTGGGTTACGATTCGGTCGGTTATTATAAAAGTACGGTTTGGTTTATCGATTTTTGATTTTTTAATATTAATAACCAAATCAAACCAAAGTATTTACGGGCACTTTCATATATTGAATGATACAGGCCATATTTTTTCGTAGGGATCTCTTCTGCAACTTCCCGACTCAAAGAAACCAAATTCATCATATAACCAAAACTGATAAATACTTCAAACAAGAAGATAAGCAAATACAGTTTAGCTGAAACTCGCCGCTATCAAAGTCCAAAACTAGTCTAGAAATACCATCACCAAACAATAAAACAGTGGCAAACTAGTCACAACCCGCAAACCACAAAGTAAGTTTAGAAAAGGATACTTTAAAGTCTTAAATACGAATCACTGGATGAGACATGAGACACTTCTTAATATGCTTTACTAAGCCAAAAGTGCCATAATACTTCGGATGACAATTATAAACTCGACCACAATGAAGGCACTTTATTTTGCGGGCTTCTTCATTTTCTTCAATTAGCTCAAAATATTCCCAAATAGGTGATCTAGCTTTAGGACCGTGAGGAATGGTTGAACCTACAAAATAAGAAAAGATCACAAGTTAATAAAATATTTTTAATTAAAAATAACAAAAGGATATCATAAAACAAGCAAATTTTTTAAACTTACCACTTGTTCAAACTATGCATCAACAATGCTAGTATCTCTTTCAACAATGCAAGTTTCTCTTCCGCTCTTTCCCATATCTAAATATAATTTGATAAAGTGTGTCATTTAAACTTACAAAGTAAACTAATTTTCACTAAAATACTCATAAAACGCAAAATCTTACCAAGTTCAATTTGCTCAAGAAACTCCAAATCTTCTTCAATATTAATAGGAGTACCATCACATCTAAGCCAATATTGAACACAAACAAGACTTTGCACCAATCGAGGAGTCAATGAACTCCTAAATGAATCAAGAATGCGGCCACGGTGCTAAATGCACATTCCGATGCAACACTAGAAATTGAAATGGCTAATACATCACGAGCTAGCTTAGATAGAATAGGAAATCGAGGCGCATTAATTTTCCACCAATCTAAGATTTTAAAGTCATCAGAATCATCAGACAATGGCTCTTGTCCTTCACCAATATATCTTTTCAACTCAGATTTAGCACCTACACTTTCGAAGTCTTCCTTTTGCCTTTTCAATAATTGCTTTATTCTCATAGATTTTGTTCTCACATTAGATGAATCAGATGTTGTCATCAGATGAAGTAGATTTAGATGGAGACGATTGAAGATAAAATCCTTTGGAATATATTTTTTGATACTCCCCAAACAAAGAATTCAAATAAGCATCCACTTCGGCGGCTAATTTCTTCCCTGGTTCGTTTCCGAATATTTCCTCAAGTGCAAAACTAACATACTCTAATTTGTTATGAGGATCTAATACAAAAGTAATGAATATCATTTTATTCATCTTTTCAGGTTCACTCTAATATTTTTTAAACTTTTCTTTCATATTCCCCGCCATCTTACTCAAATTAGTATCATCACTAGCTAAACAAGCTTTCAAATGACTATCAAGCTCACATATATCCTTAAAATGACAATTAGAAGTGACATAACGTGAACCTGAAAATTTTTCGGTGGGTTCGTGAAATCATTCAAGAAACTTTATCACGTTTCTCACATTCACCCAATCATCACATACAAATAGACCTGCAACATTCCCATCCTCACAAATATACGTACAAAGATGAGTAGAAAATCCATCATTAAAAAGATGAAGCTTGTCAAAGGCCTTCTCAAAGTTTTGCGCCGTTTCTAACATCAAGTAGGTTGAATTCCACCTAGTAGGAATATCCAAACACAATGTTTTGCTACATTCTACCTCTTGATGTGCCCAACATTCCCTAAACTTTAAGGTCCTTTGTGGAGATGATCTCACATACTTCACAGCTTGTCTAATACGTTTTACAGAAATATCAATTTCCTTCAAACCATTTTGCACAATTAGATTAAGTATGTGTAACGACCCGACATGTCATTTTAAGAATTTAAACCCCGTCTGGCGGCATAAGGCCCTGAGCAGCTTCTTATTATGTGTATTGACTTGCGTACATGGTTGAATTCAGTTACCGGATGATTCTGAGTGATTTGGAAAACGTGGTCCCCAAAACGAAAACTTAAGTCTTAGGATTTTTACCGTAGCCAGAACTGTGTGAAGACGACTCCGGAATAGAATTTTGATGATGTCAATAGCTCCGTATGATAATTATGGACTTAGGAGTGTGTCCGAAAAATTATTTGGAGGTCTGTAGAGGAATTTGGCTTGAAATGGCGAAAGATGAATTTTTGGAAAGTTTGACCGAGGGGTTGACTTTTTGATATCGGGGCCAGAATCCGATTCTGAAAATTGAAATAGCTTCGTTATGTCAATTATCACTTGTGTGCAAAATTTGAAGTCTTTCCAAATTGATTTGATGTGTTTCGGTACAAGATATAGAATTTGAAATTTTAAAGTTTATTAGACTTGAATTGAGGTATGATTCGTGACTTTGATTTTGTTTGATGTGATTTGAGGCCTCGCGCAGGTTCGTATTATGTATTGGGATTGGTGGTACGATTGGACGGGGTCCCGGGGGCCTTGGGTTTGATTCGGGGTGGTTCCGGACCAAGTTTGGGTATTTTGATGTTGCTGGTTGCTGGTTCTGGTGTTGTTCTTCGTGTTCGCGAGGAGCCTCTCGCGTTCGCGAAAAAGGATTTTGCTGTTGGGACTTTGTTCTTCGCGTTCGCGAAGAGGTTCTCGCGATTGCGAAGAAGGAAATTTTACTGTTCGTTGTCTGTATTTAGAGGCTCATATCTTGCAATCTATAAGGAATTTGGCGATGATCCAAAATTTAAAATTATAGCCTTTTCTGTCTAGTTTTCAGAAAGGTAAACTATTTTGAATTTGAAGTTGTGTACAAAAAGTTATAGTGGATACACTATAGGCTGTCCGGGAAGAGTTTGGAAATCTCTGTTGCACAGGGCTAATTTTGGAAGCTTATATCTCGTAATCTATAAGGAATTAGGAGATGAACAACAAATTATAGTTATAGCTCATAGAGTCTAGTTTTCAGAAAGTCAAACCATTTATCATTTGGAGTTTTGTACAAACAGTTATGACCATTATACTAGAGGCTGTCTGAGAAGAGTTTGAAGATGACTTTTGAAGAATTTGTTCATCGCGAACGGGAGGGGAGTCTCGTGAACGCGAAGAACAAACCCCTGGGCAGCAGAATAAAGTCCAAATTCGTGTCATTCTTCCATTTTGGACCAAGGAAGATCGGGTGAGACGATCTTTCGAGAGTTTTTCAAGAAAAATATTGGGGTAAGAATTCCTAACTTGATTTTGGTTAAATTACATGAATCTATTGTGATTTTTATCACTAAATTAGTGAATTGGGTTGAAAAATTTAGAAAATCCTCTTGGTTTAAATTTAAGATTTGGAGGTCGATTTTTTATTGGAATTCGATAAAATTGGTATGGTTGAACTCATATCGGAATGGGTGTTCAGATTTTATGAAAATTATATCGGGTTCCAAGAGGCAAGCCCCGCATTGACTTTTATTGACTTTTTAGAATAAAATTTTAAGTCGACGTATTATTATCCGAAATTATTTTCGATGAAGTTTAATGAAGTTATACAATTAATTTGGATAGATTTGAGCTGTCCGGAGGTCAATTCAAGCAAGAAGGTTATTTTGGAATATCGGCCTAACTTCAAAAAGGTAATTGTCTTGCCTAACCTCGAGTGGGGGAATTACCCCTTAGGCATCGAGTCTTATGTGCCGTTTGTGAAATGTGAAAAGTCGTGTACGCAAAATATATTGGGTTTAAGTCTTAGGCATATTGTATAGTAAATTGGATAATTGTTGGCATTTATTTAATCATCTATTTGCCATGCCTAAATCCTTATTGGTTGAACTTGTTTTTATATAACAATTTGATGTGATTGTTATTTTAATATTTATATAATTCCGTGAGTTTATTGGTTTGATAATTCTGGGAATTTAATTTCATTTTGAATTTTTCCTTTGCAAATAATTAATTAAGCAAGTTTAAGAAGACGCGTTAATATAATTATCTAAATTTGGATTAATGAAGGCTTTCATTTATGCTGAATAATTTCTATCTTTGTTGATTGTTTTTGTGGTGTTATACACATTGTGTGGAACCTTCGGCTATTTGTTGTAAAATTTATTGATTTGATTTTATCTTTGGAATTTGGTTGTGGCCATTGGGCAAATTGTGATATGAATTGATTTTGTTATGTTGTCGTGATAATTTTTCGTATAAATTATTGTGTTGTGTGAGTTGTTATTTTGAGGATATAAGGGTGGCATTTCACTATTGTTATTTTGAGGATATAAGGGTGGCATTTCACTGTTGATATTATGTGGGTATAAGAGTGGCATTTCACTGTCGTTGTGTTTGTTGGAATATTGTCTGGGCGGAGCGATAAGGGTGGCTATAGGAGCGATAAGGGTGGCAATAGGAGCGATAAGGGTGGCTATTGATATTGTATGGGCGGAGCGATAAGGGTGGCTATAGGAGCGATAAGGGCGGCAATAGAAGCGATAAGAATGGCTATTGTCAGGGACGATATGTGATGATGTGGGGTTGTGGTGTTGATAATTTTTATGTGATGTTGGGATTTTCTTATGTTTATTTTTATACTTTGTGCCATTTGTCTTATTGTTGGTAAATTGATAACAATCTGATTTATGTTGAAATTAAGAGCCTGAGGCTATTACCAGGAAGATTATAAAATAAAATGTGGGCACGAGGTGCCGTGAGTAAATAATGAGGATATTCAGCACGTGAATTGTTCGTGCAGTTGTGATATGAAATGTGGGCACGAGGTGCTGTGATGAAATGATAATGATAATTGGCACGCGAATTGTCCGTGCAGTTGTGATTTGAAATGAGGGCACGAGGTGCCGGGAAAATATGATGATTAAACTATGGGCACGAGGTGCCGTGGAAATATAAAAATTGGCTGAGACCCATATTTTTACGATTATGAAATGAGGTGTCACATGATGACTTTTTAATTGAAAGAATTATATTCAAAATATTTATTTGAAAGGATTTTCATTCAAAAAGAATTATATGAAAGAATTGTATTTGAAAGATATTTATTTGAGAAAATTATATTTGAAAAGATTTATTGAAAGAATTATATTTGAAAAATAATTATTTGAGAAAAATTATATTTGAAAGAGAGTTATCTGGAAGAATTATATGTGAAAGACATTTATTTGAAGGACTTGATTTAATTGGGTGTAATTGTGTTTATTAATTGTTGAGTGATATTAATGGTATTCTTGTTGTCTGTTGTGCATATCACTGGTTGTTTTATCCTGCCCTTATTGTTATTTGTTTTCTATTATTTTGTATAATATATATTGCACAGGTTATTAGACTAGTGAGTGTCTTGATTGTACCTCGTTTCTACTCCACTGAGGTTAGTTTTGATACTTACTGGGTACCGACCGTGGTGTACTCATACAATACTTCTGTACATTTTTGTGCAGAGCTAGGTATTGGAGATATCGGACTTGAGCAGAGTTAAATCGGGATCGTAAGGATTCAAGGTAGAGCTGGTTGGCCGTCGCAGTCCCTTGGAGTCTTTTCATTTCATTGTACTGTTAATTTGTAATCAAAGAATATTGTATATTCGGTCCTCGTGATCATTCCATGTATTCAGTTAAAGTTCGTGACTCAGTACTACCAGTCTTGGGAGGTTATATATTCATATTTATTCCGATGTTAGTTTTTATTACTTAGTTTTAAAAAGCAAAAATGGCTTCAAAATGCAATTGAAAACGGCTTACCTAGTCTTAGAGACTAGGTATCATCACGACGCCTATGGTGGAATTTTGGGTCGTGACAGTATGTGAGTCATGCATCTCACATGAAGATGCTTACCATTTATCGAATTAGTTTTCCGCATATCTAGTTGTTTAAACAATTCTTTGATCGTGACATCATTCGAAGAAGCATCATCTATAGTAACAGTGAATACCTTATCCAATTTTCATTCAAGCAAATAATTACCAATAACTTTTGCCATTTTGTCACCCTTATGACTATCGATAGGGCAAAAATATAGTATTATTTTATGCAACACCAAATCTCTATCTATCAAATGACCCGTCAAACACACATAGTTAATTCTTTGTAACGAAGTCCATGTATCTGTGGTAAGTAAATTTTTGGTTTTACTTCTCTGAAAATTTTCATTAGTTTAAGCCTCTCTTCACTGTAAATTTAAAAACAATCTCTTGTAATTGTCCTACGAGAAGGAACATTAAATAGAGGTTGGGCTATGCTCATAAACTTCTTAAAGTCTTTCTTTTCAACAAAGCTAAAAGGTAAATCCTCCGTAATTACCATCTCAACTAAAGCCCTCCTAACTAGTTCTTGATCAAATTTTCAAAGCACCCCGCCATTAATTTTCCCATCCTTTTGTAAACACATTTGTGTTTGAGTATTATCAAATTTCCGTGGTATTTTTGGACACTTTTTTAAATGAGTATTCAATGATGTTGTTCCATACAATTGTGAATCAGCCTTATAATCACGACCACAATGTTTACACTTTGCTCTATCACCTCTATTATCATATTTAAACTTTTAAAAATGATCCCAAGATATTGATCTACATTGTACGGATTTTCTTTTTTTGGGGCCTTGACTAGTTTCAACTGAATTTGTAGGTGAAGAAGTAGGTTCACTTTCAGATGAACCCACCTCACTTACTCTACTTTCAACTTCTGCCATCTATACAAAATCGAATGAAAACAGACTTAAAAATGCAAACTGGTATACAATATAAATCTATCATGTCGCAACTCGCATAAAATTAAGTAGGCACAGAGGCAAAAAGAATAAAAGAACAAAAGAACAACAGCAAAAACAGAGGCAAAAAAACAAAAGAGGCAGTTGTCACTTCTTTTTGGCAAATATTAACTCGAAAGAGTCCTAAAAATAAGAGGCAAATGCGCATATATACTATTATACTATAAACAAGAGCAGAAAATTGAAAGTTGAAAGAAACCAGCAGGAAGAGCGACGAGGGAAAACTGAAAAGGAACTGAGAAGAAGGAGGTAACCACTAACCTGAGGATGAAGGATGAATGACGAGCGGAGGACGAAGGCGTCACAGGCTCACAGCAGTCGGGCGTCGCCACAGTCGCACATAGGAGGAAGGAAGTCGGGACTCTCAAGTCTCAAGAACAAGAACCCTAATTAGAAATAATTTCTAATTTCTAAGGAAGGGAATTAGAAAAGTAATATAAGTCTATGTTGGGTTAGGTACTGGTATTGGGTAAATTGGGTTTAAGATGGGTATTGGGTAGATTGGGCTTCGGATGGATATTGGGTTTCAGATGGGTAAATTGGGTTTCAGATGGGTATTGGGTTTCAGATGAGTAACGTAAGTCTGTGTTGTCCTATTGAATTAGGTACTCATACCCAAAAATTTACTTTTTCGGTTTAACCGAAAACCAAAATACCAAAACCGTTAACCGCACCGAATACCAAAATTTAATAATTTATAAATCGCACACCGACCGAATAACCGATTAAACCGACACCAAAAAATCAAAATTTACGGTTCGGCTGATTTTTTCGATTCGACCGGTATTATGCCCCACCCTAGAGTAAAGGGTGAAGTTAACAAGGGACAAAAGAATTACTACCACAAATTAAAGGAACAAAAACAAATTGCTTTTTTTCTCCAACAACAGTAAAATTGCTTTGTTAACCAATAGAATTGCTACGTTTGACGCAATGAACACATGTGATGTCAAAACATGGGATGCACAAGTGGTGTAATGACTAAATTATCCTCAGACCTTAATTAAATGACATTAAGAACACATATCAAACATACAATCATTATTCACATTTCTATATAGTAGAAAAAGGACATGAGATGTTTCATTTTGCTTCGATGTTCTTATTGAATTTATGGTGTTACTGCTTGTTGTTATTACTTTTTTTTTTAATTTGACTCGAGGGTCTATCAACAACAACCTCTTTACCTTTTCAAGGTAGGAATAAGATTGCGTACGCACCACCCTTCCCAGATCTCACTTGTAAAATTTTACTGAATTTATTATTATTGTTATTGTAGAAAAAGGATACTAGTATCCGTTAATTCTCCAATAGATTAACAAAAATCATAAGAATTAAATACGAAAAGGTTATCAAAATTCTGGAGTAAAATCTACAAATCAACTATGAACAGGAAATATAAGAGAAATTTAATTTAAAAATAAAAAATAAAAGATCTGGAAAAAATAGTCGGGTTATTAGGTGTTATACCTACGAGGTTAGACCACTAATATTTGGAATATATTTGGTCAAGCTTCTAGGAGGTCAAAAGTATTTTTTTAAAAAAATTTGATGTGTTTGGCCAAGATGAAATAGTGCTTTTGAGCAGCAGCAAAAGCAATTTTTCTGCTTTTAAAAAGAAGCTACAAATTCTAGATTCTTCGAAGAAGCAGAATCAGAAAATTAATTTTTTAAGACAAAAATATCTTTACTAAAAAATTTATATATTTCAAATGATACTTCATTAATTTAATTTTTTTGTTTCTTTTTAATTATTATCATCCCTTTTTTAGTTTTTATTTATTTTATTTTTATCGAATTTTTATTCTTCTTCTCTTATACGTCTTTGAATTTTTATTCTCCTTCTCCTTCAGTTAGAGTACAGTGGAGAGGTCGGCCGATTGAAGCAGCCATGTGGGAATCCGAGTTCAACATGCGTAATAGATATCCACACCTCTTCACTAGTCCAACTACCTTTCTTTGTCCGTTCGAGGATGAACGTTAATTTTAGAGGTGGAGAATGTGATGATCCGATAGGTCACTTTGAGTTTTAGCCTTCATTTATGTGTTCCGAGACCTCGAACAGCTCCGTTTAGCCTTCCTCGATTTACGTACATAATTCATATCTTTTTTCGGAAATTTTTTCTGTGAAAAATTGAAGAAAATAAATTTTAATCTTAAAATGATTTGAGTTGACTATGGTTAATATTTTATGTAAACGAACCCGAATCAGTATTCTGACGGTCCCTGTGGGTTTGTATCGTGATTTGGGACTTGGGCGTACGCCCGTAATCGAATTCGAAAGTCCCTAACTTGATTTAACGTGAGCTGTTGAAAACTAGTAATTTGAAGGTTAAAAGAATTCTCAAGTTTGATTGTAGGTTGACTTTGTTGCTGCTGAGTTCATTTGGAATAGGTTTATTTCATCATTTATGACTTGTTTGCAAAATTTGGTGTAAAACGGAGTTGATTTGACGTGATTCGGACATCCGGTTGTTAATTTACATGTTCTTGAGTCCTTTGAAAATTTCATACATTTTGATGTCTGATTCGTAGTTTAAGGTGTTATTTTAGTATTTGATCGCATGAGCGAGTTCATATGATATTTTTAGACTTATATTGATGTTTGGTTTGGAGCCCCGATGGCTCAATGTGAGTTTCAGGTAAGTTTCAGAGAGTTTGGGAGAGTTTTGGTGTTGCTGGTGTGATCTGGTGTGCAGGTCTCGCAAATGCAAGATTAGATATCGCATTTGCGATGAATGGCCAAGTTTATTATGATCGCATTTGCGAATATTTGTTCGCAATTGCGAAGATGGCCTGGGAACAACAGAGATTGCATTTGCGATCATTTGATCGCTTTTACCAAGTTCCAATGTTCGCATTTGTGAACTGGTCATCGTAATTGCGATGACAGCAGAGATGTGTGGAATTCGCTTTTGTGATGACGCGAACCCCATGTCGCATTTGCGACTGGACAAAAAGCTGAGGGACGAGAGTTTTAGCCTCATTTTCATATCTTGGAACCCTAGCCTCGGTAGGAGGCGATTTCGAAAAGGGAATTTCATCTACAAAATTTGAGTGAGTGATTCTAATCCTATTTTATCAATTTATCTTAGATTTTAACATCAAAATTATGTGAATCAAAGTGAAAGTTTGTGGAACCTTGTCAAGTTTTTGAAAAATAAAAAATCAACTTTTCAAAGTCGATTTGGACTCGAATTTTAAAACTAATCACATATATGAACTCGTGGGGTCAGGGGTAGTCGGAATCTACCATTGGACTCGAGTTTTGACCGGGCGTGCCCCGGGTCGACTTTTGTTGACCTTTTGGAAAAAGAGTAAAGATCTTAGCTTTATCTATTGTAATTGATTTTCCAAGCATTGTTTGATGATATTAAGTCGATTTTGGTTAGATTCGATTGGTTTGGAGGCGAATTTTAGAGGAAAGGCCGTGGTTGAACTTTGATTTGGTTGCGGAGTGAGGTAAGTGTTGGGTCTATCCTTGATTTGAGAGAAATAGGAACCCTTGAACACGAGTGTATATACGCCGTCAAAATGATTGTTTCCATGACTTTTTCGTATTTCTTGAATTATCTCACTCCATGCCTTAATTGTTACATGCTTTAATTGCTTTCTATGCCGTAATTTGTTACTTGCCATCAATTATTTTTGTATTGAATTTTTCGTTCCTTCCACGACTCCGTGATTAATTGCTACTTGGCTTAATTATCTTACTTGCACACCTTAATTGTCACGTACTTGACTTGTTTTGTTGCTTTTGTATTATATGTAGCATTCTTTTGATTAGTACGTGGTTTCTAAATTGAATTATTGAATTGATTGCGTTTATTGAGAATGTTTATAGATCGGGTTGCATGCTGCAACGGTTGTAATATGGTGGAATAAGGGAGGGTTTTGACATTGATTATAATGATATGGTGGGATCGGGTTGCGCACCGCAATGGTTGTGTACGTAATACTTGTTATTGATAAATTATGACATAGTGAAATAAGGGAGGATTATGACATTGATTATGATGATATATTGGGATCGGGGTTCTTGATAATGATAAATGATATTATGGTGGAATAAGGGAGGATTGTGTGTGTACGGTAAGATCGGGTTGCGCGCCGCAATGGATTATGTATGTTGTACTCATTATGTTATTGTGTTAGTTTTCATCCTTTTATATGATATTTTGAGGTCTCATATTCTAGATTCTCTGGTTGCGAGGATTGAGCTCATTTTCATAAATTAACTGCTTTTCCGTCATTTCTTGTTTTCTTCGCTGTTATTATTATTATTACTGCATACAGGTTATTTTAAGTGACCCACCTTAACCTCGTCACTACTTCGTCGAGGTTAGGCTCAGCATTTATAGAGTACATGAGGTCGGTTGTACTCATACTACACTCTGCACTTCTTATGCAGATTTTAGAGTTGGTCCTAGCAGTGGTCAGTAGATTTCTTGGATCCGATGCTTGACGGAGACTTGAGGTACAGTTTCACAACGTTCGCGGCCCTGAAGTCCCCATCTACAGTACCCTAGCTATTTATTTCAATTCAGACAGTTATGCTTTCATTCTGACTATTATTTGTAGTAATCTAGACGCTCGTGTATTCGTGACACCAGTTCTGTGATTTGTATTTGGATCGTCGTTTATCAGATTTATCTACTTTATTTCAGTTTATTTAGCTTATTGGTTTTCATTTGATTTGAATTATTAAAAATGGTTAATAACTATATCTAACATTGGCTTACCTGGAAAGTGAAATGTTAGGTGCCATCACGGTCCCGAGGTTGGGAATTTCGGGTCGTGACAAGTTGGTATGAGAGCACTATGTTGCTTAGGTATCATGAGTCATGAGCAAGCTTAGTAGAGTTTGGGAGATTGGTGCAGAGACGTCTGTACTTATCTTTCAGAGGCTACGGAGTTTAGTAAAAAATTCACTTCTTTCCTTCTCTATCGTGTGATTTTATTCTATTATTGATGATTGAACCATTCTATTCTTATTCTCTCGCAGATGGCGAAAAAACGCACAACATCTACAGCCGGACAAGAGCCGGAGCCCCTTATGATAGCTACTACCAAGGTCAGAGGCCGAGGCAGAGACAGAGCTCAACCTAGAGCTCGAACAACATCACCCGCAGTGGATCCTCAGATTGATCATGAGGATGAGGTCCTAGCTCAGACCGTTCCCTTTGGACCAGCTCAGATCCTTGGGGGGGATTTATAGCCACTCCCGTTCTTTAGGACGCTCTAGTCCGCTTAGTGAGCCTTATGAAGAGTGGCCAAGATCGGTGCATTCCCGATGGCACCAGCCGTCTCTCGGGCTGGAAGAGAAGCACAAACTCCCGCTACTCACACCCCGGAGTAGGTGACTCCCATGTATCAGACTCCAACAGCCCAGCCATTTGGGGTGGTTC